TAAGTACTGAGATATAGATATGTAACGGGGACAAAACCAACTTATGCCAAAAGGTATTTGTGTTTGTACAACATATACCAAACTAAAGGCAAGACTTTCTGGACATAAGTCATATCAAAATACAGACAAGTCATTAGAATAAAAGACGGCTCTTGCAGCACATTGCACAACGACGGGGCATACGCCAAATTTCAAAGACGTTGATATTTTGACACAAGAAAACAATTATAAACGACGATTTACTTTAGAAATGTTCAATATAATAAATGTACCGAAAGAGAAGAGAATGAATTACAAGACTGACACGGAACAAAAAAAAAAAAAAAAAAAAAACAGGAACAGGAACAGGAACAAGATACTAAATTTTATTTAACCTTAAGCCGAAACAAATCCAAACAAGAAAAATAATACATCACAGGTTAACAAAAACAACAACAAAAATTTTTCAATTTTAAATACTGCGGGAGAACCGTGCTGGTTATTATAATTTTTTGTGAGAGTTCTTATTCTGCAAAAGAAGTATTTGAAGAAGAAGTAGAAGTATTCTGACCTTAATCCAAATAAATTGTGGCCAATCCCGAAGAGATCCTATTAATTCCGACAATATTTGGTGACGCATTCCTCCAGACTTTCCAAATATACAACATTAGGTTTTTTTCTCTTTTTTGTAATATGCTAGTATTTGAATTTAATGCATACACCTAATTAAATACACCTTCTTTCATACCATCGAATTTCACAGTACAATTTGCTAAAGTTTTTTTATTTTTATTTTTAAAAGGGGCAAAACGATTAATTTAAAATTAGTATTGACACAGATATGCATATAAGCCATATCTGTAGGTTTACAAAAATAACAAATTAAATTTTATGTTTGACCCCCCCCCCCCTCTTCCTATTACTCTATGGGGAAATTGTTTGTGAGAAATCTGTCACGTACAGCAAGTTAAGAAAAATATAAACAATCGCACCCATCAAATGGCCCTTTTCACAAGAGGCAATAAATTGTTGTGTTATTGATAACAAAATAATTGTTACAAAATGTTTTCAAACTTTTTTTCTCGCGGTCCTTTTCGATCCCTTTGTGGTGGGTGATACATTTTTGGCTATGGCTTATTGGAATTTTGATATCCATTGTAAAACAAGCTGTCACAAATTTACTAAACAAAGCGTTAAATTTGTTATGTACGTACCCCAAGACCAAAGCTAAGCTACACAAATTTCGTTTTCATACCAAGTGACTTTAAGTCTATCGCCCGAATGGGAAGCTCAGATTCGTATGCAAGAGTGTGTGTCTCTTGTTTCAAAAATAAAAATTGCCTTACACAAAGAAATTCTAAAGATAACACGCTTTTCCTCAGGCTAGAACGGCGAATAACCAACAAAAGAAATGTAAACAAACAACAAGGCCTTTCTTATCTAATGTTCAGCAACATTTCGCAGGAATAGTGAAATTTGGCTACAACCCCCAAAGGAAATCTGGTGTCTGTTAACCGTCTTCATCCTAGTCAGACTGTATAACGATTTTTCATTCCGTTCCGTGGTAAACCAACCGACAGACATATGGCTGTTACATTCTTATCTCCTAACGTTTTGGGTAATCTATGTATGTACGTTTGTATGTAGATATGCAAAATAATACATGTGTATTTATATTTTACGCATAATTTGGCAAATTTATAGCCAAATACTTTGAAACGCCCCATTATTTGACTATCATCGATGATAACACAATATTCTTATTTTGTGTTGAAAAATTGATTAGAATTGTTGTTGATTTTTTTCCCTAAAATCCTTCTGAAACTCATTGATAAGAATTTAAGCTTTAAGATTTATTGGCAAGTGATTGTGTGAGCGAATATTTAATGGAGGAAATTTAAAGAGTATTTAGTGGACATAATGGGGACTACTATTAACTTTTAACGGTGGATATGAGCATGTTAGGAATTATTCTAAATATGGATCTATGTATATATGCTAATACTACATAAATAGTCGAGGCATAAACGACTTGATGCTTTATCTCAGCTAGTATGTAAAAAAATAAATAAAAAATAATAATAACCAGTGAGCGGTGCAGTATAGTCGGACGGGGCCGACCATACGATACCCTACACAACTACCACGGCACTCTAACTCTAACATTCAGCCCTTCTAATTACTTGTCCAGATTCCTTTAGCCGTGGGTTGTGTTGTAATGTTCGGCTTATAACTGTATACATCGAATCGAAAAAATAAGTTTTCGGTCCACTTCATCCCAAAATTTGTATCTGATCATCAACGATAATTATAGGCGTTATCCTTGACCATAACTAGAACCCCATGGAACATTTCAAATCGATCAGCGTTATATTTCCGCCCTCTAGTGTGGTAAGGGTTACTAAATAATATCTGAATACGAAAGCACCTGTAAATATTTAAGTGTAACTCCCACATCCGAGAACATACGACATGTTTCACACAAAAGTCAGGGTCCATTTAACCCGATAAATATTGACCAATCTTTATCAAAACAGGCATGCTTATTCTTTGGCCCGATCCCCTTCTCCATGTAAAATTTCACGATGTTTGAGCCTTAATTGCGGCCTCTGGAGCGACCAGAAAAACCGACAAAAATTTAGTATTTGGTCCATTTCATCCCCTAAATATTAACCGATCTTTACCAACAACAATAGGGGTCTTTATTGGCCAGAACCCATCCTACATGCAAAATTTCGTGAAGATTGGTTCATAACTGTGGCCTGTATCGTGTTTACAAATTATAATGGACAGACGGACGGACGGACACACATGTCTAGATCGACTAAGCTAGTCGAGATATGACGATCGGTATACTTAAAGGTGGGTCTAGGACCAATATTTCGGCGTTACAAACTCTTGGGGCTGCAAAGCTATATTACCCTGACAACATAGTTGTGTAGGGTATAAAAACCAGTTAAAAACTTTGTTAAGTTCTGCCGGGCTGAACTTTTCACACCTTCCAACGTGAGGAGCACATTTAAAATACCTAAAAACCACGAGACTTTTATGTGGGGCTAACTTGTTGACAAGAAAAAATGAAATAATTGGCTAGGGCCTTGAACATACCAAAATCTTTAATAAAGGAAAATTGGGGATACCGTTATATGGGCACTATAATTTTTTGTAAGAAGTTTTGACCCTCAATGAGAACCCAAATTAGAAATGAGGCGGTGCCGTTTTCAATAGAAAAGCCACCCAGTGTGTAATATCAATGTATGTACAAAATTCTAACACACAGCAGACCGGCAGACGCGGTTAAAGCAACATAGAATTATATGCTGGAATTTTTGTGCATATCTTTGATGTGTTGCAAACGAAATGGATGTTCTCAGGATTCTATTTAGGGCCAATATATTAGGTTGAGGAAAAATAAATAAATTATTCTTTCGGCCGATGGCTGTACTGATAGATTTTTCGGAAAGTATCGATCAAAAAATTTCATTTTTACAAATTTCGCAGTAAAAAAAATATTTTGCTGTTTCAGTTGTGAGTTACAGGGTGTTAAAAATGGAAGTGTACGAATAGACAATTCGGTACATTTTACAGTTTTTCTTCGATAAAGACGAAAATGCAAACCAAGTGGCTAAGGAGCGATTGGGGCTTGATCATGTATGAACTATATGGTATAAATCAATCTCGACCTCTGTGGGCTTGCTTCATAAAATGAAATTTGTTCTAATTGTAGCAGCTTATACTACTGTGTATTCTTCCTTTAATCTGGTTCTGATTCTAACTCCAGGTTCAAAAAGGCTGCGATCCGTACAGGTTGTGCCCGAAGTGAAGTTGGAATTATATGTGTGGATTTAGCTGGGAACTTGAAGAAGAGTAGCGTGTCACGTGGACCATTAATTACCACATGCCGGGCATATATTGCCCACCATACCAATATTGTATATCATGCCCAATATGAATTGAGGCGGATACGCCATCCAGATCTCAGTTGTACAAAGACCACTCCGGTTCATGGTGTTAGATGCTGTTCTTCTATTGCTATCATAGACGGGTGTTCTATCGAGTATTCAATTTATATTCTTAAATTGCTTCCTCAAAGCCTCCCTTTTGTACCTCTGGACCTCTCTCTTCAGATCATCATAAATCATAAATCTTTTGTTGTGCGGTGGTGCTACCGGAATCCATGTAGATTATCAGCAATTGAGGCGCATTCACGAACGCTAGGTAGTAGCAAAGAGTCTTACGAGTTGCTACTAACCTAGCTATTGACGATAAAAGTGAGATCGGCTTGTATGATTCACTTTTGCTGGCATCATTGGCTTACGTAACGGGACCACCACACCCATTTACTCACTCCGGTACTGATGTTACTGCAATTCAGATGTTCTAGCCACTTTTTATGATTGTGCTAACCCGTTCACTTCCTTTGTCTAAGTAAATGGAATGGAAGTTGCAATAGTCGGGTGACGTTAGCTTGGTGGAATTGAAGACACACTCATCTAGTGGCTCAGTGTATATACTATGGTGAAGTTAGACATCTGCCCTGGTTTGTCTGAGTATTCAGGATTTAATGCTTTAATTAGAGGCAGGATATATCCGTCGTTGTGTTTGTACGGGAGGTGTTCAGTAGGAGATGCGCTAGATTTATCCTCCTTCTAAAGTTACGCGGTAGATATATAACAACATGGACAAAATTTTATGCGAGCTCTCAAACATCGCCTACGAAGGTGGAATTGATGGAACATCTAATGACTTCTTTATTGGGGAAAATTGCGAATGAATGTGAAATTAACGTCGCCAGAAGGTGCTGTTGAAGTGTTCAATAAACGGAGCGGAAATATTTCTGTATAGCATTGACATTCACATTCTCATTATTAGACCAAAATTGTATACCTTTTAATAATCCATATTTACATCGAACCCGAATTAAGTCCTTGGTATTCAATTATTTTCCCATATTAGAAATCAAAAATTCCGATATCTAATCCAAAAACAATTTTAAACCATTTAATGTTAATACGACTTACCCCATCAAGGACCACAACTTTGGCCAATTCCTGACCCAAAGATGTTTCCCAACACATTGTGGTCAAACTTAATTCGACCCTTTTCAAAGTTTTCATAATTTCCGTATAGTTCTTCTCAAACTCTTCTGTCATTGTTATGGGTCGCGAAATGTTCATGTCCAATGAAGTGTTTTGATTATCGTCATCTGTCACCAGTTCTGGGGTGCACTCCATGTCCCAACAAACATACATGGTGCCATTTGGCATATCTTCCAGATTGTAAATAACAGTCCTATCATCTTCGAAGAATGGTTTGGTCGTCAAGTCATTGATTAATGGATCTTCTTGTGGTCGAATTGTATTTCCACCGGGTCTAGGTGTCGTAGCATTTGTGGTAAAGAAATCTAAAACTTCATTGAGCAGCGTATTTTCTTCCCAAAGTATCTCCTTGGCAGTAGTGGTTTGCGGCGTTGATGCACTGAAATCGGTCGATGTTGTGGTGTCCGCTGCTGTGGTGTCCTGTGTTGTGGGATATGGCGTTGTATTATCTTCGGTTGTTGTGGCCAATGTTGTGCCCTCTGTGGTTGATGTCGTCATTTCATTGGTTTGTGTAGTTGTGCTTATTGTTGTTGTCGTACCACTGGAATCCCTACGACTGTATTTTGATCTAGGCAATAATCTGGATGGCGGATCACTTTGGGCTCGTTTGATTCTAGAAATTTTATTTTTTCCTTTCGATTTTCTCTGTGTTTGTTCGGGACTGACATTGGAATAAGGTTCCACTGTGGTTTTGAATATTTCATTCAAAGGAGTTGTTCCTGTCGTTGCATGGGACTTCTTTTTCTTTTTCCGCCTGTGAGCTCTGGCCGCTCTTTTCTTTTTATCTTCACTTGTAGTGGCTTTGTTCAGCTCATCATCGACCAGTTGGTGTTCCAATGACATCCCCGCGAAATAATCATAATATTCAAAGAGTGTATCATTTCCAGGATATTCGGTTGTTGTCGTTGATGTTATTGCTGGTGTAGAGATGGTAGTTTCTTCGGTCGTTGGTTCAGTTGTAGCCTGAGTTGTTAAGGGACTGTTGGCAGGTGGTGTTGTAGTCGTGATGTCCAATGTGCTGGAATATGTCGTGTCCGATGGTGTTACGGTGGTGCTGGCTTCGGTGGTAGTTGTTATCGCCCATGTCGTTTCTGCTTCGGTACTCATCTCCGTTGTGGTCGTCATAATGGGACTTGTAGCATTTGTTACCAAAGCTGTTGTCGTTGCTGTTGGTGGTATCATGGTGGTTGTGGTGAGATTTAAGAGCAACAAAGTTGTGGTGGCCACTGCGGCCATTGTTCCTGCTGTTGCCGTTGTTGGAAGTCCCTGGATCCCCTGGCATTGTTTGGTGCAGTATTTTGTAACATTACGACAGACGAGTTTTGTTGCCACTTTGGCCGTTGTCAGCATTACCGTTTCTGTTGTCGTGGCCAGCTCCGTAGTGCCATTCAAATTGGCTGTCATATTTTTATAGATTTCCCATCTGCGATTTAAATCCTCCAATTGAGCTGTTGCAGTATCATTTAGCAGTTTCATTTCGACAAGTGGCCCTTCTTTTTTGTCGATTTTATAGATGAACGAAAACATCAACGAATACAGGGTGAGTAAATTCAAAATCATAATTCTGAAAAAAAAAAACATTAAACAGTGAATATTATTATGTGTTTCTTTATGGTTTTATATTTTGCTACTGTACCTGGCCAATTGTAAGCGGAGTTGTTGACGAGGATGCCAATTTTCGAATAGCCCCAACGCCTCAAATATCATTGGCAATATAAATGAAAGTAAATTCATGGTAACATTTACAGCATTTTTACTTAACCAATCGTCGCGTTTCGCCAAATCTTCTGATCTGGAATATAAAGAAATTGAAAGTAATCGTTAGACATGCGATTTATTTTTATAAAGAAATCGATATACGCTATTGTACTTTCAAATGTTACTAGTACGCTATTAAAAGATTGTACATCAGAAAAAGTTTACAAGAATTGGTATACCAAACAATTTTAAGAAGGTAGGAACTTTGCACCAGATGCTATAGTTACACCTATCAAGAACCGCTATAATATTTAGAATCGTACGATGTCCTTGAGTTTCGTACATTTTTATTAGCAAATAAAAAATGATACAATATCGGCGTTTAATAAGAAGTTTTGTGATGTCTGGGAATAAAAAAACAGTGGTGACAAGTGCGGTTGCCAGGCTGGAGTTGTCTGGATGTCCAGATTTGTTGATCCTTTTCCAGTTTCAAGCTAAAATTGAATTTGTCCAGCTAAGTAGGGTAAAAACATTGCTGATTACGTGGATTGAATAGTCTGCTTTTCACTATATACGACTTTGAATAGAAAAAGTGGACAGGACAATGAAAACATACTAGAAACCATCACAGCCAAGATAAATTGTTTAAGACCCTTATCTGAATTATTGAGAACTACATTTTTTTAGAAGTTTCGGATGTCAAAAAATCTTCTCTTGTTGTGTTTAAATGTGGATGTGAGTCAATATAGGTATATAGTCTTAAGTAGCTGAAGAGCCAGAATATTATAAATTGACGAGCAGAAGGACTATAAGACATTGGCGTTTTGATAGGTCTTCTATATAAAACAGACCCTTTGCAAACTTCTACAAATGGGTTCCCATCATTTATATTAGATTAACTTTTAAGAAATCCCCTGTAAAATCCTCCTTAGAAGTCGGCGGTGCAGCCTCTTAGGAGGTCCTGTATAGATTATAAACATTTGTCATCTCTTTTGTAGAGAGGTGCGCTTGAAGTTCTTCTATGAAGGGTACGATATTCTATATAATAAACATTACTTTGAAAATTTTGAGAAGCACTGAAGTATAGATTTTAGAGGGTATCTTTAAATAAAACCTTCACAAGAATCTTTGGCCCTTCTAAAAAATAATTTTTGATTGGGACCTTCAAGCATTTTTTAGAAGAATTTTAAGGCAATCTGAAAGAATCCGATTCATTTGGAATATTTTAAAGAATGTATACATATCTTCTTCCGTCTTCCGTATAAAACAGACCCTTTCAGACTTCTACAAATAAATGGGGTTCCCATAATTTATATTAGATTAACTTTTTAGAAATCCCCTGTAAAATCTTCCATAGAAGTCGACGGCGCAGCCTCTTAGGAGGTCCTGTACAGATTAGAAACATTTGGCATCTCTTTTGTAGAGAGGTGCGCTTGAAGTTCTTCTATGAAGGGTACGATATTCTATATAATAAACATTACTTTGAAAATTTTGAGAAGCACTGAAGTATAGATTTTAGAGGGTATCTTTCAATAAAACCTTCACAAGAATCTTTGGCCCTTCTACAGGAAAACAACTTTTGATTGGGGCCTTCAAGCATTTTTTACAACAATTTTAAGGCAATCTGAAAGAATCCGATTCATTTGGAATATTTTAAATAATGTATAAATATGGGTGGATAACACAGCCAACACAAGGTCTTTGAGAGCCGTATCTGAAATATTGTGAGCTACATCTTTGTAGAATATTTAGATGTCAAAAAATCCCGACTCAGAAGAACTGGAGACAAAACAAGGATATGTTCTTCGAAAGAAATATTCCGAGAAGAAAGGCCAGGATAATATTTACTTTAACATACTTTTGAACAGTGTAATTTTAATAAAAACAAGTAAAAACGATGCTAACTTCGGTCCGTCCGAATTTTTTTTATACCCTCCACCATGATAATGGCAATCAAAATATTTTAAATAATGGGCAGAAAGCTCATGATAGAGCCTTGGACATAGCGAAAAGTGAGAAAAATAAAAATATCTAAAATTGTCAAAAATCCCCATATTAGAGAGTAAGATTTATATGGAGACTACTCCTAAACGTGTGCCAATATTAATATATTAATGTATGGGTATGTGTTATTCAATGAGAATCCAAAATATTAAATTACAGCCAATTCGGTTGCAAAATCTGTCTGAAGTCCCCAAATTACCGAATATCGAAGGTTTACCGTTATATGGGACTACCCTAAAACTTGGATCAATATTTATAATTTTTGGTACGGAGATGTGCTATTATGAAAATCCAAAATACCAAATAAAAGCCAATTCGGTTGGAAAACATATCAGAGCTCTATCTTAAATATTGCGATCTCTATCGGACAGAAAGACGGGCATGCGTAAATCGACATAGATCAAGAATATATATACTTTGTGGATCTACGGTGAATATTTCAAGGTGTTGCAAACGGAATGACAAATTTAATATCCTTCGTCTTTTCCGTATTTTATGTCCATCATTTTTTTGTTTTCTCAGACCTTTCAAAAACCCATGTCCAAATTTTTTTGCGAATTGAAATCTGGCAACCCTATTGACCCATTAAGTTTTGGTTAGTTAAAAAGGCTCTGATTTCAGTCGATATTGTTTGCATTGTCATAGTGCACAATGATTGGACTACTCTTGTTCGCTATTCGAATTGCTGCGAATAGTTGATGTAAATAAATTTTCCAGAATAGAGAATCAACTTTCGTTTGATTTGGTTCAACTTCGAAGATCCCCACAGTCATTTATTGTTTTGCTTCGGGCTCAAACGCATAGATCCGGCGCCTGTGATAATGTAATAAACGTATATTGAGGTGTAGATTTTTTATGTTTGTACCTTACGTCTATGTAGCATATGAGAATTATAGGTCCATATTTTGACGCAGCCTCGATATAAAGGTCATGTACAAATTCGGTATATTGATATTTGTAACCCCATTTTCCAATCGAAAAGGAATTTGGGGTTTTTGGACGTTCACATAAATGAAAATAAAGGTCCCGACCAAATATCGGTATTTTGAGTGTTTCAGCCATTTTTTTCCAACCGAAAAGGCTAAAAATTGTCATTTCTGGATTTTGGACAAATAGGGATCATTTACTTCATGGATGTTCCATACATGTCCATATTTTTACATTGCCCCCATATATAGTAACCGTCAATTTTCGAAGCTCATAGCCGCATTTTTTAATGTTTGAACCCTGCGTCTACGTAGCATATGAGAATTATAGGTCCATATTTTGACGCAGCCTCTATATAAAGGTCATGTACAAACTCGGTATATTGATGTCTGTAACCCCATTTTCCAATCGAAAAGGAATTTCGGGTTTTTGGAGGTTCACATAAATGAACATAAAGGTCCCGCCCAAATATCGGTATTTTGAGTGTTTCAGCCATTTTTTTCCAACCGAAAAGGCTAAAAATTGTCATTTCTGGATTTTGGAAAAATAGGGATCATTTACTTCATGAATGATCCATGCATGTCCATATTTTTACATTGCCCCCATATATAACAACCGTCAATTTTCGAAGCTCATAGCCGCATTTTTAACCGAGAAGTATCAAAATGGCAATATTTTGGGGTTTTGGAAGCTTAAATAAATCTGTGCGGGAAATCAATATTATAGGTCCATGTTTGTATACACATACAAAGTTTCCTCGATTTTTGCTATGCTTAAATTCCCAGCCAAGTTTTCCAACCTTAATTTCTATTAAATTTTCTAAAATTATAAATAAACTGCTAGCTGACAATGACACTGTCCCCCATACAATGATCCCGATTTTGTAAAGAAATATACTATAATTATATTTTTATTGCAATCTAGTATGTCAGTATTACATTTTGATGATTTTTAACATACGTTAAAATTGCATAACCCTGATGTACACCATATGATAAGGGGTATAAAATTTCCGGTGAGCTCAACCAAGTTTTTAGTAATTTTCTTTTTTTGCACCAATTCTTTAAAGCACTTTTTTACCTGATATAGAATGGTAAGTTCATCGGTGTACTCTTGTCGGGATAATCCACGTCGAAAATCGTGAAAAATATGGAAGGAGAATTTTGTGGGCAAATTCATTATTGAAGTCAGTGTAAACAACACAACACATGGTGGTAAGTCAAACCGTACTAAAAACGTATATGTTAAAAAATTTCAAACTTCCTATTGGAGATGTCAGGTTGTACCACAGACATATATAATAAACCTCGTATATCGATTTATTTGCAAAGAATAATTTACTCCACACCTTATATGGATACATTTAAGTGACGGCAGATGCATACTCACCGATTTACTAAGTAAACAACAATAGCACCGGATGCGACTAACAGGGCAATTATCAAAATATTAACAACTATTCGTTGCAATATAATACGCCAACTGAAAGAAAACAAAAAAAAAAACAAACACATATATTTATACGTGGCTATAATTTTTAATAAAATTAAATTCTAACAAAATGCTTATAAAAAAAATAATTGTCTCTGGAAAATAATTCCAGCCATAAAATTTAAATGTATTGTGACACAGCTAGCCATTAAAACTTACTTTCGTGTATCCTTCTTCTTTTCAGCTTCCTCCAGTAGAGCTTCCTTGAAACCAACTACCACAGATGCAATGCGATTATGTGCAGTTTCCGCATGACCTGAAAACAGTGTGAACCCGCACAAAAATAACTTTAGAAAGGATAAGTAAAAAAGAATTCATTATCCTTGAGCATTGTTTTGTGGCACAAGGCAATGGAGTGTTGGTTCGTATATATCTGTCTTATTCATTCGTTCATACTTACCAATCATAAAATCCCAACCAGTAAAAAGTTTCCACGAAAATGTGCATTCATCGTCTTTCGATGATAGTTTTGAATTACGTGAATTCTCGGCCATTCTGTGGGGGAAGACAAAAAAGGATGTCACATTTTTTATTTTAATTAACGGCTTCTATCACTTTAAAGGACTTTTATTCGTTTTGGACTGGAATATCGTAAAACAGAGGCCTTGTGCCGAATGGGAATTGACGCGCATAGAGAAGTGATAAGATTTTTTAATATTACTTAAATAAGTTTTATTCTCTAAATACTTGCTGTCCTCTCACATTTAAAGGCTAATCGAATAGATAGCTGTTTACTGTTAGGCACGTACCTGCATTGGTATTTGTTCTTCGTTAGTTTCATTGTTCTTTGGCTATGACATTAATTAGCCAGGAGATGAGCAATTCTTAGTATTGTCAATTAAAAGGACACGAACTAATTGAATTACGATAATAACTTTAGCGTGACGGTATGATGCTGAACAAAAATTCCCCTACCGCTTTGCTTGCTTTCTGTCAAGAAATTTGAAATTACTTTTGTACAACTTATGAGATTAACTTCAGGTTTGTTGTCTTGATTTTATTGGATTTAGTTACGTTTCTGTGTTAGACTGTTGTTCTTGCTGCTGTTCATGTAATATTAAATCAAATCACTTTTCCCAACATCTTTATTTTTTATTTGGGACAAAGGACAAATTTAGGTATGAAACTAATATATCTATGAGGAAAATTTTATCGTATCAATGTGTATATACCATGTTTATATGTGATATATATCCTGACCGACCTGTTGCTGTATAAGAACTCTTGACAGCCAGGTTTTTTGTTAGCGACCAATATACTGCCAACCAGTGAACTAAGGAACTTTTTATACTCTCCAACATAAGGTGCAGTGTATTATTAATTTGTCATTCCGATTTTTTTTAGTTTTTATTGTTTTTTTCGGTTTTTAGATAATTTGAGCATATTTTTCAATTGAATTAGCAGAAGGTTAATACTTTGAGAAGTCCTTGTATGGTAAAGATTATTAAAAAAAAAAACAAAATGTCAGTATAACCTTGATTATCGGTATTTCGATCATTTTGAGCATATTTTTGAACTGAATTGTAAGTTAATATTTTGAGTTGTCCTTGGGTGGTATTCCTTCCAAAAAATATCAATATACAAATAAAACATGTAGGACGATGGTCCACTCCTTCTGGTACCTCCCCCACAAATTGTCAAAATTTGTAATATTTACCAGTACGGAAAGTAGTAAAGTCGGACGAGCCGACTATATGATACCCTTCACCACTTTGGGTATATTCAACTGATGAATCCTAATATATGGGGGCTATATCTAACTTCGGACAAACATTGGGTCTTTAGTGCACAATTTACATAAAATCGGAAGAAAATATATATAGGAGCTATGCCTAAACCTGAACCGAAACTTAGCACACATAATTCTAGACTTAATTCAGTACGCTATGCCAAATTTCGTGCAAATCGAAAGATATATGTGGACTTTGGTGCACTACTTACATTCAATCGGACGAAAAGCTATATCTAAATCTGGACCGATTTTCAGGAAACTTAACACATTTCATTCTAGACCTAATTCATTGCGCTATGCCCACTTTCGTGCAGATCGAAAGATATAGATTGACTTTGGAGCACCATTTACATTAAATCGGAGGAAAATATATATAGGAGATATATCTAAATCTGAGCCGATATTCACGAAACTTAGCACAAGTCATTATAGACTAAATTAGGTACCCTATGCCAAATTTCATCCAAATTGAAAGATATATAGGGACTTTGGTATACCATTTACATTAAATCGGACGAAAATATATATGGGAGCTATATCTAAATCTGAAACGATTTTCACGAAACTTAACACACATCATTTTAGACCTAACTTATTAGGCTGTGCAAAATTTCGTGCAAATCGAAAGATTTAGATAGGGACTTTGGTGCACCATTTACATTAAATCGGACGAAAATATATATGGGAGCTATATCTGAATCTGAACCGATTTTCACGAAACTTAACACACATCATTTTAGACCTAAATTATTTGGCTGTGCAAAATTTCGTGTAAATCGAAAGGTATATAGGGACTTTGGTGCACCATTTACATTAAATCGGACGAAAATATATATGGGAATATATATGGGTATCTATATCTAAATCTGAACCGATTTTCACCAAACTTAACACACATAATTTTAGACCTAATTCATTACGCTGTGTCAAATCGAAAGATATATAGGGACTTTGGTGCAACATTTACTTTAAATCGGACGAAAATGTGTCTATCTCGTTTCCTTTTGACTGTTACAAACATATGCACAAAGACATAATACCCTGTACCACAGAGTGGTGAAGGGTATGAAAATAAATATGAATAGTGTAAATAAATAATAATATGTTGCTATAATCAATAATAATAATAAATAATATGAATGTTGCTAATGTCCGGATGTTTGCATATTATGGATGCAATTCATACAACTTTAAATGCTGGTTTCTTGTCAACTTCGGAGTTGTGTTTGGTGATGGTGACGGGTTTCCTATGGCACAGAAACTATATGTCGTTTTGATTTAGTTTTTTTCTACTTTCGGTGGAGCTTGTTGCTCGTATCAACCCTTACTTCTTATATTTTATTTGACATTTATATCGAAAAAAAGTTGGAAAATACATATGCGAATTTTTTAACACCAATGCAAACAGTTCTGAAATAAAGAAACAATGGAATGCAAATGCGGTTGTAAATAAGAGAAACGGTTACAAAACTAACAACCAACAAGTGAGGAGAGATACAGAGGACGATACCAAAACAAAGCACATCCGGACGATGAATACTGGTGGTTTTTTTTCTTGGGCTGAATTCACTTGTCTTTGACAAAAGTGAGAGAAAGAGGCAAAAGTAAGCACAAGTAGTTTTTAAGTAGAAAGAAGTATGTAAATAGTCTTGATATTAATGAAATGTTTACATTTTAAATATTTTGGTTATCTTGGGCGTATTTATAAACCAAAGCGACACTAATTTGGTTTTCTATGTTCCTGATTATCCATGTTTTGACATATCCTTAATATAAACGTCACGCCCATTTTCGATAGGTACAAGGTCCTAACCCATGGCATAATTATACAAGGTAGTCTCATGCAGTCATATGTTTCCAATTTTTTCATAATTTTACTTTTGACAACATTCAGTTTTCAAAATTTAAATAAAAAAACTTCGTTCTAAATGTACGCACAGCTTGTCTTTAGTGGCTCACATTGCTAGATTATTTATATTTATTAATATTTTCAAGTTCCCTGCCTCTAAAACCTATATATATATATATATATATATATAAATTGTAAAACCCATATTCACATCTTGAGAACAATATTGCAGTCGACATACATAAATGGTCTGTTCCAGAACTGCAAGAATGTAAAATGAAAAAAAAAATTGCTCGTACCGACAATTTTCTGGCAATTCGTTTTGTGTATTTCGTATTTGTTGACATTTTAAGTAAACTCGCCTAATATAACTCAGGATTAACCGATTTTTCAACTTTGAAGTTTTCTGTCCACAATTACCAGAGTATTCTAGTTGATTTTGGGTATTTTGAACGTGAGTCTCATGAGGGACGAAACAATATGTTGGTACGTCCGTATTTAATGTCGTTTTTACTAATTTATTTGTATAACAATTTAACTAAAGAATTGTCCATTTTTAATTCCCATTATTCTGTTAAACCAAAAACCAAAAACATTTATATTTATGTTATTTATTCCATTACACGGTCAGATTAACTTTCAAAGAAATCCATGAAATTGTAAAAGTGAACAAGGAAGCTCTACAAATTGTTATACAAACAACTGGCAATTCTGCTTTGCCACTGTTGTGGCTATTTCAACTTCTCTGTTTTTTTGAGAAAAGTAAATAATTCCTGTTTGGTTTTTGTTGATGTTTTTTCCGGAAATGTTTACCTCTGGCTACAGTGCTATCTTAATGTAACGACAGGACATTTTTTTTTTGTGACCAAGCTACTTACACACATAAAACATAATGTAGTGACAATCATCGTTACCACATAAGGTTGATAATATCAGTGAGCATTTACTGGCAATCTGACATCCAT